TTCTAAATCACACATTTCTTATATGACAAGAATAGTATTTAAAGTGTTTCAACATATTTATCTGCTTTGTTACATTTGGTGCTGTGATGTGTGCCTCTTGCAACAGAGGGTGCTGCAGCATCCCCAGCACCCATATTTCCCATGGCCTTGCAAAGGTGTCATGGGAGACAGTAAACTTTGTGACATGTCATGTATCGATGTACCATCCTGGAGGAGTTGGACTACCTGTGAAACCTCTGTAGAGTATGGCTTTATGCTGCTAGTGATGACCTGACCATTGCCAAGTTAAATCAGTGGAAAAAACAAACAGTCAGAAAAGATGAGGAGGAAAAAACTGTCAGTGGCCTTCCTGTTTGGAGGTTGTGTCATTGTTGCCCCTCCACTGCAACTGTTGTTAATGTCATTAACATCAAAACACCTGAAACTGATTAACAACCTCCAATTACTTACTAGCTAAAGTTTAATATGTCAGATCTCTACAAGATCTTTTTTCGTATGTCTCTCTGCTTTGCTTTTGCAGTATGGTGTGGTTCTTAATCTTTTGCTCCGTGAAAACATCATTATTGAGCTCTTCAGCCAAATACTGAGCCTCTGAAAATAATTAGAATAAAATCGTCAGTAATCGCTGCACAGTTAAGGCAATAGTTTTGTTAAAGCTGTTGAATAAAAGCTGAAAATCTGCGGTTCAGCCACAAACTGACATGACTTAATATTACAATCTAACAAATCAATTACTTTGCGTGTGTGTGTGTGTGTGTGTGTGTGTGTGTGTGTTTAAGAGTGCAGGTGGGGCCCATTTGGAATATTTTTCATTACTTCTGCTTGTTATCAAGATTCTAAAATGTGCACTTCGACTGGTAGCAGCTCTGATCTTTACTCAAACCTTACGTTATTTATTTCTATTTATTGACTTTTTTGTCGAGTACTGATGGATACTTTTGTTGTGAGAAGACATTTTTTCATTGAAACTGTGCAAATCTGGAAAATACCACCCTATTTCAACTGAAATAAAGAGTTGTTTTTGTGGTTGCCATGCTGCGGCAGGGATAAAGACTTGTACTAGAGATGCACAAATTAAGCTCACTTATTTATTCAAAACAGATTAAAAGGATGCTTAAGCGTGTTTGCAGGGACAGTCTGGCGGAGAACTGTGGCACTACATGACCTTGATATACTTGCTACCTGATTTATTGCAGAAAGGTGTAGGAAGGATGGCTCCGCCCTAGAAGGCTGAGGTGTAAAACAGCCCAACCATTTCACCTACGAGTAATTAACAAAGACGCGGAAGACAGAGAGAAACAAAACCTCACCACAGTTCTGCCAAACCATAACAGTATAATGTGGGGAGGCTAAGTGATATCCAGGGTGGGTGGGGGAGATGGGTGAAGAGAAACTGAATCTTTTTGGTTCTAGTTATTGGAAGTGAGCTTACTCCTTCAACTCAACCAGGGTCATAAGTTTCCCAGTCCCTAAAAAACCTCCTCAAGGTCTTTCTCTGGCGTTCTCCTGTAAGATGTCTGGAAATGAATAAGAAAAGGAAATGAAATACACTTACAGACCAGCAGAATGAGCCAAACTGTGACGTTCACCCTACATGAGCAACAATGTTACCCTCGCTACAGTAGAGTGTGTTACTTGGGTATGACGGTCTATTATTTCACTTATCTATGTGTTTTGCTTAAGGTAAATAAAATGCAATAAACATAGATAGGACGACACAGAGCTTCTGTCATTTTGTATTCTAATAACAGTGGAGGAAAGTTCTGCTTCCTGTGAAGGCAAATTGGTTGACATTTTGTTATCCTCATCAACCAGTGAACTCTAATGCCATACGTATGGAGACATTGGAAGACACCACTCGCACACACTCTGCAATCGGTCAGCTTCATTACTCCTTACAGATACGTGTGTGGCTGTAGGGGGATGAGGCCAGTCAGCAACATGTCTGACTTTCCAAGGTTTCACAAATGGATCCCAAGCAAGCATGTACCACACACGAGCTTCGGTATTCTAATGTGCATTTATTACACGTTTTAAATAAATAAATCATCCGTAAAATTATTTTACACATCCTCAAATAAAAATATATTTATATATGTATAAAAACAGACATTCAGCGAGCAACGAGAAGACAAAGGGTTAGGGGATGTGTTCATGGATTACACTTACACTTCAATGCATTTTGTACACATCGAGACAAAACAGTCAGAACACAAGCCTGTGAATATCAAGTATAGCTGCCATGTTGTTCATTCAATGCTAGTGAATGTCTGTTTGGTTGAACTGTGTGAGCGAGATAATGAGCCCAGTCAGGACGCAGTGCCCAGCAAAAAGTGTGCACTGCAGTGTTACCAACAAATAATTCTGATTATAGTCTTTGTTGCCTCCTGTACACTACGAGACAGTCTGTGTCTGAATATAGCGTTCCCTGGCAGTGAGGTCAATCAGGGTCCTTCAAGTCTCCTTGAGCAGCAGGCAAGAGTCCAAGAAGTGACTCCACTGATAAAAACAACGAACAATAATCAACACAGGGCACTCTACTAAAACGATGTCCTCAAAAAGTCAAACATGAGTCATGAGGATTAAAAACAAACTTTTCTTTTTCTTTACTTTTTTACACAAGTCAGTACTAAAAACCCGGAGTACAAAAATATATGTTTTTTGTCTTTGTGTGGCTTTTTTTACTTTACAAAAAATAAACTACTCATCAAGGTATATTTATCGGTATAAAACTGTCTCCAGAGGTTTTTGGGGAGAGAAATCCAGTCAGGTTCTCCTTTTTCTCTGACTTTTCCGTTTTATTCTCTGACGAGTATCACGTGCGCTTAGTCCTTTGACTGAAAGGGTAGTGGATGAAGTCAAAAGGCCGGTGGTGGCTCGGATGGGTGGGCTGGTGCCCCTTTGGCAGCCTCTTCATGAAGTGGACTTCACGTTGGTGCTGGCGTGTCCGTGAGCCCTTCCGTGGACGCCCCCGACGCGTGAAAGCCATGTACCAGCCCTCATAACGGACGTTCTTCAGCGCCGTGTAGTTGTTCTCCAGAACGATTTCGGTGAAGATACAGTCACGGCCTAGTCCATTTTTCTGCAAAATCACAAACGACAGAAAAAAGAGGATATTCACAAAAGATGTTAAAGATTTGCAGAATGAAAACCGTCCCCTCAAATGTGCAGCGTATGCTACAGTCATTACAAATCAAACAGAGGGAGATCACTATTCTCCCCCTTCAACAGACCTCCAGCAACCCTCGTGGGTCAGTTGCAGCAGCGCACACCTTCCTGTCATAAAGCCTTAATCAGACCCTAAGTGTCACTTTCATTCCAGGTTTGACTTCCTGTTGCATTTGTGGTTAAATCTAACAGCTCTGGTCAGCTAGAATAACAATCAGTAGATGCTTAAACACACATCAGGTCTGCAGAGTTCAGTGAATCCCATTGAATTTAAGTTCCAGGTTACATCAGGTCTTTACGACAATAAAAGGCAGGCATGTGAAAGATGGGTGAAGTGTGGATGAGCGTGTGATGTCCAGTTGGTAACATCATAAAGTGTACAGTGTAGTTCTCTGAAACAGCACTAGCACGCAGTCCTGGCCTACTGTACAGAGTGTGTTAAAAATAGTCCTGGCACACTCCTGTACACACACTGAAAACACACACTTTCTGTCAATTCTTCAACACAAGCACACACACATATACTGCGGGTGAGGTAGGTGGTGACTGGGCCGGTAGCTTGGGGCAGATGGTGTTCAAGGTAGGGTGCTGGGTGGGTGGAGCGAGTGTGTGTGTGTGTGTATGGTAGGGTTACAGAAAGCTTGGCAGCTCTGTTTATTAGCCATCACAGTGAGAGAGGTCAGGCAGTCACCCACTAAGACACATCTCACATGACAACGTTAAATGCAGCATTGTGGAGTCCTGAGCCAGCCGCATTTCTTTATTTCTAACCAAAGAGCCAGACTTTTGTAACTTTTAAAAGTGGTCCTTAGTAATAATTCCGAAGGTCTTCTTCAGTCATTATCAGTCTGTTAGGCCACCTAACACTGACCTATGAATAATACGAGCATAAAAAAGGCTAAACCAGCGTTGTATCTACACATAACGGCCAACTTCAAAAAGAACCAGTTTTCCAGTTGTATCTTTAAGCATGTTGTTACTAGCAACCATTTACAAAAACACATAGTTTGTTTCCATGTCTTTTGTTGAATCTAAATGCCAAAGATAACAATTTAAGAACCATAAAGTAATAGTTGTGCACCAACAAGGTGATTCCCAAAGAGCTATTAAGTGAAATGTTGGCATATCTCAGCATGGTGTGAAGAAATAGTTGAAGAAACTGGACAAGTGGAGGATAAAAGAAGAAGTGGCACATGTAAAAATATCTGCAAAAGATGAGCAGATGAAAGCCATGTCCTTCAGAATCAGGAAAAACAGAACCCAGATGTTCCTGTCTGCTATACCGGCCACTTGGTTATGCGTATATGCCCGGTGTGCTAGCGTCTTGCATCCTGTGGTTATGTGCTGGATTGTCTCCGGGGTATCTGCACAGCCTGCTCCTGGGCTCTTGCCTGGTGAGTTAGGGTCCAGCGTCTATAGATCTTGTGCTTACAGTTTGTTCTTGTGCTGTTTTGATTAGTGCATCTGTGCTGTCTTTCAGTCCAGCTTTCTTCAGCCATTAGTAGCATGTTTCGGTATCAGCCAGTAGTACATGCGTCCTTCTATGATGGTTCCTGTTCTTGCTTCTCTTCTTTCTCTGGTTTTTGCTGCCTGACATATTCACTAAGCACACGATCGGTTGTGGCCATCTTCATGGTGTACATTCATTGGTCTTTGTTGTTTTATCCTAGTGGTTTTGACACTCACTAGTCCTCGACCTCCTTCCTTCCACTTAATGTACAGTCTCAGGGTGATGGACTTGGGGAGAAACCCGCCATGCATGGTGAGGAGCTTTCTTGTCTTAATGTCACAGGGTGCTATCGCTTCCTCTGACCAGCTTATTATTCCAGCAAAGTATCTGATAACCATCAGGGCATTGGTGCTGATTGCCTGGATGTTGTTTTTCCAATTCAGCTGACAGAAGGCCAGTCGCTGCACCACCGAGATTTACTACAAGAAAGTCTTTGATTCAATCCCTGACATGGGGATCCTGGAATGGCTTGAACTGTACAAGACCAACAGGGCCCTAACAACCTTCATCAGGAATTCAACGAGGATGTGGTGAACAACACTACAGGCCAAATTCAAGACAATTGCACAGGTCACCATCAAGTGCAGGATTTACAGAGGAGGTGCCCTGTCCCCACTGCTGTTCTGCCTCAGTGAGATCATCATGGATACTGACTATGGAATGGTGCAATCGTTAGCTGCCTTCTCTACATGAATGACATCAAGCTGTATGGATCAAACTAGGATCTACAGCAACAACATCGGAATGTCATTCGGATTGGAGAACAACGAGGAGAGGGAAGGTAATCAGAACTGAGTGGATTGCACTACCAGAAAGCATACACTGAGGACAGCTACAAGTAGCTGGGAATCCCACGGGGAAATGGAAACCATGAAGAGGAAAGCCACAACCACCAAAAACCTGCAGCGAGTAAGGCAAGTCCCGAGGAGTCAGCTGAATGGGAAGAAAACAATCTGGGCAATCAACACCTACTGCTGGTCATCAGATACCCTGCTGGGGTAATAAACTGGCCAAAGCAGGACAAAGAAGTTACTGACATCTCCCAAGACCCCAGAAAGAAGAGGAGTTAGAGGAGGAACCATCATGGAAGGACAGGCCCCTACATGGCATGTAACACCGCCAGATCTGTGCTCTAATCGGTCTGCTAAAAACTTACTTTAATACATTTAGTTCAGTTTTAAAGTTTTGAAATCACTTCAGTCTCAACTTCACACCAGCAGGTGCAGCAGGAGGGGAGGAGTCAGACAGAAACTCGGTTTGTCGAAGAGAACCTGCCCGCGAGCAGGTTATGTCGCAGTCTGTTACCTGGTAAGTGACTCAGGGTTAAAGTTAACTCTCGTTCTGGAACTGAGAACCCAGAATTCCCCTCATCTCGGGTTGTTAGCTAAACCTGTTTCCTGGAATAGGACCGAAATGCTTTTGATACCCATCAGCAAGCTTCTAACATAATTCTGGTTGGATATTTGACCACTTTTCTTATCTGGCTGGTTTACTGCACATGCCCATGTAAATGGTAAATGGACTGATTCTTATACAGCGCTTTTCTACTCTCTCGGAGTACTCAAAGCAACATGCCACGTTCACCCAGTCACACCCATTCTCACAAGCACTTTTATCTATACTTAGTGCTATCTAACTGCATTCAAACACATTCACACTCCGATGGACGCATCGGAGAGCAACTTGGGGTTAGTATCTTGCCCAAGGATACTTGACATGCAGACTGGAGGAGCCAAGGATCGGACCACTAACCTTCCGATCAGTAGGTGACCTGCACTACCTCCTGAACTACAGCCACCCCTGTATAGCCCATGTTAATGTCAGCCTAGTTTATTTATTCCAAAACCAGTTTTTATGTGTGTTTGGGATCATTGTCCTGTTGGAACTCCCAGCTGTGTCTGAGTTTCCAACATCTGTCGATATGATGTAAAGTTAAAGAATTAGGAGGTAATCCTCTTTCTCCTTTATTTCACCCATTTTGTGCCACGTACCAGTATCACTGGCAGTAAAACAGCCCCAGTGAATCCTGCTTCAAGTTAAGCTTGAAGGTTTTGTCACAGTCTCCGTCCATGGCAATGTAAAGCTGGTTTCATTATGGGCGGTGATGCTGGCATTGCAGCAGCTTTCACTTATGGCAGGCTTGAGTCCTGGTTGTTCCTGAATATCCTGGGCAAATTCTTTTCCATCTGAGGACAAAAGTTTGGGTTTCTCCTAGGACTTCCAGAAAGATGACACATCTAAATCACTAATTACATATAATTGCTTGAACAGATGATCATGGAATCTGCAACTGTTTAGAAATGGCTCCAGGAGACCCTCCCACTTTGTGCAAATCTTCACTGAGCTCCTTAGACACATTGTTACAAGCGTTGCTCTCAAGCAAGTTATTTTTATGTTGCAAAGAGAAACTACCAGATGTAGTCAGTCCTGATCACTAATGTGATTTTAAAAGGCCTTGGCCTTGTCAAATTAAAAGACATAAGTGAGTGTACGTCTATATTTGAGTCCATACGATTACTTTTGGCCATGTGTGGATTGGAGAAAATCCCAAATAAATTCAAACCCAATTCTTGTTTTTTAAAATGATTGAAGGTGTATTCATTCATTCCACTTTGGAAAATCAACAGTTCAAAGAACCTGTTAAAAGCAAATTTACCGTAACATTTATAATAATTGTGTGTACACTTCTGGCCACACAGTGTATGTTTTGTCAAAACTGTGGGAGTGTATTCAGTCTGGACTATTTTCAGCTGCCAGTGTCATTATAACTGTGTATTGACAATAAATTACGTGTAAAAATGCAATAATGATAGTTTAACATTAATGTATATATTTAGATAATTTATTGTCTATGAAAAAAGCCTTTTGTGAAGCTTGGACATCTTATTTACTTCATCACCGATAAAATAAAACTGAAGAATAACTTCAGGCTCCTTTTCAGCAGTTTAGTCAGGATCACATAAAGTCAACTTCAGTTATCGATGAGTCCATGAATTAAAACCAGTTTTTAAAAACATATTCATAGTTGTCCCACAGATTTATCTTTCTGTACAGCAACTTTAAAGACCTCCTCATATTGATATCGACACGTCTCTGTGATCAAGCTTTCTGAGTAAACTTCGATAATTAGATCCCACTAATACGAGACTTGATAAAGTGTTTGGTGCTCGTCCTGTAGCATTAAATAATGTTGACCACTGTTTGGTCAAAACTCAGATTATTAAACTTTCCCCTAAACCAGCCAACCAGTGGAACCAGCTCCCAGTTTGGACTGGGTTGACAGGCACCATCCCTACTTTTAAGAGCACACTTAAAGGTTTTCTTTTTGATGAAGCTTGCAGTCGGGGCTGGATGAGGTGATGCTGCAATAGGACTTGGCTGCTGGGGGCTTCCCATGATGCAGTGCTTCTTTTTCACTCTTCATGTGTTTGGACACCACTACTGTATGTCATCATTAGTAATTAATTTTAAACCATGGGTCTCTTTCCCCTCACCCCCACAGGCAGCCTCGTTCTGCCTGTTTCTCTTTGTTACAGGAAACTTTCCTTCCTGCTTTCTCGTGGGGTTGTTAGGGTTGTCTCTCTAATATTGTGGGATCTTTACTGTATAATATATTTATTTTTTATTTTTATTAACCTTTATTTAACCAGGAAGATCCCATTGAGATTAAAAACCTGGCCAAGATAGGCAGCAGCGTTTGTCTCACAGTTACAGGAATCACTCAAACACAGGCAGCAACAACACACATGCAACAATAAGTGAAAGAATACAAATAAAATAAAACAAAATTCAATAAAATTCAAATAAAAATAAAAAAGTCAGTTAAAATGACAATCAATCTAATTGAAACAGTTGCATGTTATGGACTTGGCCTCAAGGATTCGTAGTTTAGATTTAAAAGCACTTAATGAAATGAATTCAGTCATTTTCCTTCTGCGGTTTGTTCCAAGCCGAGGGTGCTGAATGGACAAAAGCTCTTTTACCAAGTTCAGTTCGGGCAAATGGAACAGAAAGCAACAAGTAACCATGCGGACGAAGAGAATACCGACCAGCATGTTTCATTACAAGCAGGGAACAAGAAGGCAGCAACCCAAGTATGGGCTTATATATAAAACTGTATAATGAGAGTTCCTCTGACTTACCAAAGCAGGTCCTACCTGAGAGTATAACTCACAGTGGTGAGTCTGAGATTTACGGTTAGTGATGAACCTCAGAGAAGCACGATACACAGAATCAACCATTTAAAGACATTGAGCAGAAGCCTTCATATATAGAATATCTCCATAATCCAGCACAGGCAGAAATGTTGCAGCAACAAGCCGCTGCTTTGTATTAAAAGAGAAACACAACTTATTTAGAAAATAAAATCTCAGTTTTAACTTAAAGATTCTCTACATGTGGTTTGAAGGTGAGCGAGTCATCAATTAAGATTCCCAGATATTTATAGGTGTGAACCGACTCTATTTTATTACCTTCAAGAGTGGTTACTGATGGGATTATACATATATACACATACATACATATACACATATATGAATGTGAAATGAAATGGGATTGCACTGAACTTAATAAAAATGTTATAGATTAGCTTGATTGATAGAATCAATCAATTAGTATTATTATTTTTTCTAATG